AGTTGTGGTTTGCCTGCTGGTGATTTCCTGAGCAGATAAGCAGTTCCGTGGTAGTACGGTTGATCATGATCTCAAGAGTGGTTCTGAACCCTGTCATGTGGTCATGCCTTCAATCCCAGCACACAGGATGCTGAGGCAGGAAGGAGTGTTACTGAAATTGGAGGCCAGCCTGGACTGCATAGTGAAACCCCAAAACAAACCAAGGTGTGTGGGGAGAGTGGGGGTGGGGAGATTGTTTCTACAAAGCTTCAGAATAGTCTTCACCCTGAAGGGAACAAATCAGTTCCCATTTTGAGAAGATCGTTCCTCTTAGGGACATAGCCTAGCCTAGGTTCTCTCATCAGGAGAATTGGCTCCATCGTGGCAGTGGGGTAATTCTGCAGAGCTGGACATCATCATCATGTGATCATCTGCCTGTGAGGCCCTGGTACTTGGCGATGGTTTGGCCTCTTGTTGTAAAGACAGTAAGCACATCAGCTGTTCTTGGAATCCGAGGTGACCTGTAGGAGGGAATGACTCAGGAGAATTCAGAAGGAAAAAAATCACAGGTAAAGATGAGTTAGAGAGGGGCAAAATGGACTTAGGTCAGTGAGTGGACCCCACTTCACAGAGGACTGTCTTGTGTACGTCTTTTATTAAATAAAAGATAATCTCTCTCATTTTTTTTTTAAAGTAACTGTCTCATTTGTTTCTCTCTTTAATATTGAAATTGTCAGTTGATAGGCAATCTTTCTTGAGACAAAACTAAGTTCTTTCTCACATCTCAAAGAATGAACATGGTAACTTATGCCTTTTAGCACTTAGGAAACAGAGGCAGGAGGATCTCTGTGACTTTGAGGCCAGCCTGATTTACATAAGCAAGTTCCAGGACATCTAGGACTGCACAGTGAGACCCTATCTCTACAACAACAAAACCCAAATTGGTTATATTTCTTTTTGAAGAATTTTTTTGTTGTTGTTTTGTCAGTTTTGCAAATGAATCAGAAATGTAAGGTCTTTAATCATGATTAAAAAATACTTGGATTAGCACTCAGGAGAGTGGCTCCTGTACCTGGCCTAGGCAACACAGTAGAGCTGGCCCCAATGATCCAGGTGTGGGAGAGCCCACCCTGGGGGCGTGAAAGCAGTAGAACCTGCCCTTTCTCTTGTCCATTGCTGCAAGGGGTGAACTAGCCAGGGGAGTGCAGGAGAGCTCACCCTGGTGGTGAGGACAAGGGAGAGCTGGCGGACCCAGAACTAGGGTTATGAGTTGGCTCACCCCTGCGTCCACCCCATCTGTGATCTGTGGGAGCATGTGAAAGGCCACTCCTGCAGACCCAAAACTGCAGGATCTCTATGACATAGGGTGACAACAGGCTATCCAAGAGAGCCCAGCGTTGATAGTGTAGCAGAAACCAGAGGCCTCAAACCAGACCGGTGACTCTTTGCAATGAACACTTGCACATAGATACATAGATAAAAGTGGTTACTGTGTGACTCTTTTTGTCACAGTACACTGTTCATGACGAAACTTTTCCTTTATTTTTTGTGGGGGGTGCTGCAAGGGCAGAAGGTGGATAAGAAGGGATGGGGAAATAAATGGGATTGAGATGCATGATGTGGAAGACAGAATAAATAAAGAGAAAGTTTAAAGAAATGCATGTATTGTATGGACTCCATTAAAAGGCCTAGTGGAGGGCCAGTGAACTGAATTCATTCCCCCAGCATACATGGTAGAAGGAGAAAAAGGAATCTCAAAGGCTGTCCTTTGAACTCCTCTGACAATCAACAGTGTGTATACCTGCCCACCCTCAAGTTTAAAAGGGAAAAGCTTAATCCAGTCATCAATTAAAGAGTCTGCCTTTGTCTTTCCCTGCAAACTAAGGCAATTGTAAAATCGCCCTCTGCCCTTTCCTCAATCTGTTCTTGTTCTCTCTCTCTCTCTCTCTCTCTCTCTCTCTCTCTCTCTCTCTCTCTCTCTCTCTCTCTCTCTCTCTCTCTCTCCAAAAAGAAAAAAAAATTGTGTTCCCTCTCTAGTTTTCAACTTTACCTCTAGCTGGTTCTTTGTTATATTTTTGTTTTTCAAGGTAGGGTTTCTCTGTGTAGCCCTGGCTGTCCTGGAACTCACTCTGTAGACCAGGCCTCAAACTTAAAGAGATCACTTGCCTCTGCTGGGATTAAAGGTGTGTGCCACTACCACCTGACTTCCTCTAGCTGTTTCTGAAGCTCTTCTCTTCCTCCCTTACCCACTCGTAGTTAACTGAGCTGGTTTTTTCCTCTCTCCTTTTCTCAATATGGCCACACTAAGTAAATCTCCTTTCTCTGCCTAAATCTAGCTTGTTGGGGCTACAAAGACCCAAGTTCTTACTCTTAAAAATTCTGGAAACATGATGATTTCTGCTATATTACTACTACCTTCTCAATGTTTTCGTTACTAGTAACGTCTTACATTAGTGTGTACATGCATTAGTTTTAATCGAATGAGCCGGAGTTACTATGAATCACTGTTGACTAAAGTCCACAGAGTACAGCAGAGTTTTTGACTGATATATAATGACATATACCCACTATTATAGTGTCATACAGAGTAGTTTCCCTCTCTGTGATGGTGAGAGTTTTTTGTTTGTTTGTTTTGTTTTTCGTAATTGTGTGTTTTTTGGTCAACTTGACACAAACTTTTGGGAAAAAGAAGCAACCTTGAAAATACCTCCATCAGATTGTCCCATAGGCCAGGTCTATGGGGCATTTATTTTCTTGCTTAATAATTAAGGTGGGAGGGACCAACCCATGATGGTTGGTACCATCCTTGGGTTATATAAGAAAGCAGGCTGAGCAAGCAGCACTCCTCTGTGGTCTCTGCCTTAGAACATCTCAGGTTGCTTTTAGTCATTGTGATCACATCAGTAGAAAGCCGGCTAGGACGGCTTCTAAATGCCCGTCTCTCATTCCCCTTCAGCCCCTGGAGTCATTGTCCATACTTTTGCCTATTTCATTATGTCATAAAGCAGAAATTACATAAATGTAGTCTTTTAAGACTGCTTTCTTTTTCTTGGAACTGACTCTTCTTGCATGGTTGATAACTCATTTCCTTTTCCAAATAAGTAATTTGTTACATGGATGTGACATACTTTGTTTATCCATTTTACTCACTGAAGAACGGCTTAGTTGCTTCCAAGTTTTGTCAGTTATGAATCATGATTTAGTCTCTTTCAAAACATTAATATAAGGTGAAAAATGAACAGCTCAGTATCTTGAGCCTTAGAGAATAAATCTTAGAGCAAAACACTTAGACTTGCATATTTAGCTTATAACCATCTTTAAGAAATTTCTATGTGATATTTGGTTGTGAAAGAAGGAAAAAGACACTGAAGAGATAAAGTAGGGGGAAGGATTACATTAATTCTGGATAATTTTTGGAAAATGAGATTTTCTGAAAACTTCATTGGAAATTGAGGTTCTAAATCCAACTGTGAGCTTGAGAATATTCTTAAAACTATTGTCACGCCTGCATAGACAGCAGGCCATCAAGTAGGTACCACTTTAAGTGCATGGGATAACGAGAGGAAGTAGGATTAACTTTTTGGTAACGAGTCAAATAGGAGGAAAGTTTTATAAAATAGAGAAGTAGTTGCTTGAGAATCAGGGTAGAGGTTAGATATTGACATTGAGATACAATTGCATAAGGTCTGTGGATAGTAGTCTTTGTTGTATTTGTGACCTACATTGAAAAAATTCTCATTAATATAATGGGAAGTTATTTATTGCGTGATTTGGAAGTCACTGATTATTTTGGTTGACAATTTTGTGGAAACTGAGGATTATAGTCATTAGTAAACTATGCATCCATTTGAATGTCTAAAATTTTGTTTTAAAATATTTATTTAAATAAATTTAAAATACTAATATATAAGGGCCACCAAATACCTTAAAGTATTACTGCATTCTCCTGCTGATTTTCAAGTGAAGATTTTTCTGTTATGGTAGTGCCTTTGTGGTTACATCTGTCAAGGATTCATGTGTGATGTATGCTGTAGAGAGCTTTCATGATGGCGTTGAGTGCAAGAGCGTGTGTGTGTTCATGGAAGTGGATGTACACGTGTACATGTGTATGTAGAGGTCAGAGGTCAACTTGGGGTGTCTTTCTAGATCATGAGTACCTTGTTGGAGCTAACTGGTTCAGGAGAGTCACTGCTGAAGGCTATCCATGATTCAGTAGATGTCCTAGCCTTATGGGCAGAACTAAGGTGACTCAGCCAGTGGATTAGAAACGGGTGTATAAAGTAGAGCGGGAACAGTCGTGTGGGGTTAATTGGAGGGATTAGAGGAGAGGGGATGGAGGTAGGTTTGACCAAAACACCTTGTATGCATATATGAAATTTTCAAACAATATGAACAATTATAAAAGAGTTTGGTTAATAATATGAAAGGCTGGAGAGAAATTAGGATCAGATTATGGGATGCTCTTATTACCTGGGTATGAGGACATTGTCACTTAAGTAAAAATAGGAAGTAGTTTTCTGGGGGCATAAATGAGGAGGTAGTAATATTATAGAAGAAAGAAGACTTTTTTCTTCCAATTCTTAGCATAGGTTGATTTATAAAATAGTTTAGAATTTATTTTCAATCTTTACATTTTAACTTATGTATATATTTTATAACTTATACGATATCATAGATTGTATTCCTAAAATGTCACATTAGAAACCAGCCATGTAAAAAATTAGCTGTACTGCTTGTATCCTCCATCAATATTAAAAGATGTTATAGTGAATTTGAGGACAACCAGGACAATGTAGTGAGATCCTGTCTCAAAAAAGTAAAAACGAAAAAGATGTTATAATTATAAGCAAGAACCAAATTGTTAAGATTCTTTATGAATTTAGCCTTAATATGCCTAGACGTTATTTTATAAACAAAATTTTAATGTACTTCCCTTCATTATAAATGTTTTATTTTCTTAAATATATCTTTATCTATCTATGGTGTGCATGTGTCTGTAATGTATTATTTCTTTGTTCTAGAACTGTTGCTGCTGAAGTCAGAAAGCAGATCTCTGCACAATACAGTGGTTCCCCCCAGCTGCTCAAAAACCTCAACATAGTTGGCAATATATCCCATCACACCACAGTAAGTAGCACATTCAAGCCATGGAGTGTTACAAGTGCATTCTTGAGGAGACCATGAAAAAGTACTGGAGAAGTCAGTATACTGGGTTCTACACTAGTGTTAGCCTTCACTGTTGCCTACTCATTCTTGCCTTTCAAGTTGACAGAGGGTTATGAGGTGCTAGAGAAGTGCTGGTGTCCTAGTCAATTCCAAAACTCTACAGCAGGACTTAATCAGTGCTGGGCTTTTATACGTAGATTCATTATGTGAAAATACTAGACTCTTCTACAGTTAGGCATTGAGGGTAAGCTCTATGTGGGTTCGTAGCTCTGTCCCTTTTAATAGAAGGGAATAGTTATTGAATCATTGTAGGCCAAGCATCATAAACATAAATAAATCATAACCTATGAAAGAAGCTATCACGAGATAGTAATTTTTATTTAAACTCATATTTATGTTAGGAATATGAATTAAAACAAACTTTCATTTATCTTAAAATTATAGTACTTTAAAGTTCAAGTGTGGGAAACTAGAAAAGTGTATAAAAGGGGACAGAGTGTCTGGGCGTGGTTTTGTTTACTGTAATCTGAGAACACTGGAGTGTCTGGGCGTGGTGTTGTGTCCTGTATTCTGAGCACACTGGAGATGGAGGCATGGGTATGATACATGTGAGACACTAGCTTAAACACGAAACACAAAAGGTGGGATTCTACAGTTTTTACATGTAGCTCAGGAAACATACTGATTATTGAACAAACATTATATGCCAGTGTGAAAAAGAGTTTGATTGACCTGTTATAATTGTTTGTGTTACTAAACCTTAAAGCAGGAATTTACTTTTATGAGCAGCAATATGCTGGTTGGAAGTCTAGCATACATGAATTTCTGGGTGCATGGGGGTAGTCCCACGTGTATGTTGTTGGTGATGTTAGCTCTTTGCCTTTCATCAGCTATTGAAGATCACGTAGCCAGACACCCGATTTGTTTTTATGAACTATAACTCATGCAATCTGTTTTATGCTCCCCATTCTGATTACATCTCTCGTCTTCTCATTCTGGTTTCCTGATTCCAGCTATCCTCCTGACTGAGGATTCACACACCTCAAATCCACTAACTTTTTACTGTCCTTGTCCCTTGATGTCCTCTTCAGTTCTCACAAAGAACTTAGTTTTTGAGCATTGTGTAACTACTCTGTTGCATCCACTCCTTGATTTCTTTAATCTTCTCTCGTGTTATCTCACCCCTTGGCACAACCTCAATGCTGTTTAAATCTGGGTGTCCACTTATTGTACCCCGGTATCCAGGAGTGTGGCTAGAGAAGATGCTCAGCGTTGTTGACTAGAGTAAGTTTAAACTTAAGAGCAAGGGTTAGTCCAGTGATTTGAGCGCTTTCACAATTCTCCCTTAAAAAAAAATAGCATCTTTTAAAAATTTGTTCTTTACTTACTAATTCAGCCTGTCAGGATTCATACTTTTTTTTTTTACTTTTTTGTTGTTGCCTGACCTTTTCTACCAGTCCCCACTTTCCAAATCTTCTTAGCAGCAGTATTTTTTCAGAGGGTGTGTGCAGTGCTGTGTGGATTAAATTTCTCTTTCAGTTTCTTCGAAAAGGTACTTGTTGATCATGAAGTCTTCAGACACCCTGAACTAGATAGAGTACTGAACACACTGGCACTTTCATTATCACACATAACTACATCAGCAGTAATGTCTTGCTGTCATCTACAGTCGGGCGTGTGCTGTTTCCTTATTGGTTTTATGATTTTTTAAAAAAAATATTTATTTATTTATTATGTATACAGTATACAATATTCTGTCTGTGTGTGGGTGTGTCTGCAGACCAGAAGAGGGCAGCAGACCTCATTACAGATGGTTGTGAGCCACCATGCGGTTGCCGGGAATTGAACTCATGACCTTTGGAAGAGCAGGCAATGCTCTTAACCACTGAGCCGTCTCTCCAGCCCATGATTTTTTTTTTTTATACTCGATTCATTCACTTTAGAATTTGGGAAACTATCAGCAGATGGAATTTGATCTTAGGTCAGTAGAGATTCTTGCCTTGTTCTTGTGCTCTATCCCCCGTTGCCCCCCTAACTTTGAACTGTGTTCACACCATTGGCTCATTTAGAAGTTAGGTCAAAGTTGCTTTGCTTTCTTGAAGACATGTTTCTTCTCTATTTCCGATGAATGGATAAAGTTCTGTTTCAGCTTTTTAAAAATGACTTCATTGAGTTGTAGCTCACCTACCATACAATCTATCACTTTAAAGAGTAAACTCCATGGGGTTTAATAAAGTCACTGATATACCACCACAGTCGACTTACCTCAAAAACAAACCTTTGTCTCATATTTTCTCATCCTTCTTTCTGAGCCCCACCCAACTCATACTTGGTTGTGGGGGAGCTGTTTGATGACTACCCCCACTAGCTTTAAATTTGTGAGTGCAGTCTCTAGAGAGCATACATACACACACACATACACACACTTAAATCTTTTAAAAGTAATTTTCAGGCAGGGTAAAATGCAATGACTATTACTAATAATATATAATATAAGTAGGGTCTGAATATTAAATATTCTGTGGTTATTATTAAACCATTAAAGATGACTGTAAACTGGGTATCTCAAAACAATAGAAGTTTACTCCCTCAGTCCCGAGCCCGGGTTTCTGAAGTCAACAGAAATGAACTGGAGTAAGGTCTGGCAGGGTCATCATCCCTGCAGTAGTTCTGGGGGGAAAGTCAGTCCTTGCCACTTCCTGGTTCTGGTGGCTTCTGACGTTTCTTTACCTGAAGCTGCATCCCTTACCCTTTAAGGTTAGAATCTTCAAATGTTTTTTTACTCCACCTCACATGGCTTCTTCCTCAGTGTATACAGCCCAGGTCACCTTTCTCTCCTAAGTGAATATTGATGACTTCATGGAGAGCACACTCATGTAATGCAGGACAGCGTCGCCATCTTAAGCTAAAGTGTTAAAAAACACGTGTAAGGACTTTGACTGTACTTTATTTCCATGCACATTAACATGCACAGGGGTCATGAATTAGGGTGTGGGAAGTTTTGGGGGCATCCTTATTAACTTATCACAGTCTGGTCAAAAATATTTCCTAGGATAGTCACCAATAACAACAAATAAAATAAAGGCAGCTTTCAGAAACTTAATGATACAAATTCTAGAGATAACAGTAATCATTCTAGTGAGCACGCTGCAAGCTGTAAAGTGTAGCAAGATTGCTAATTATTGCTTCTTGTCTTTAATGTGAGAGTTATGGGAAGAGTGTGAGGAAAGCATAAGGGAGCACATGGCCGTGTGCTGTGATTCTCAGTGCATCTGAATATCTGCTGAGGTTTTCCAAAGGACTGGGTTAAAAGCGGGTTTATTTTTCCTTTGCTTAAAGTTGTCAGATTATTATTCACCTCTTTCTTCGCACACTCCTCTCCGCTAAGGTGCCCCTTACTGAAGCAGTCGATCCTGTGGATTTGGAAGATTACCTCATCACTCACCCTTTAGCTGTGGACTCTGGGCCTCTGAGAGATTTGGTTGAATTCCCTCCAGATGATATTGAAGTTGTGTATAGTCCCAGGGACTGCAGGACCCTTGTTTCAGCCGTGCCTGAAGAAAGGTAAGGAGACATTGCCTTGTTTCAGTTTTAATGTAACTGTAGGAAGTTTTTCATTACTTTATTTAAGTAATGTTTGTTTATTATTATAAAAAGAACGACAGCAAAAATTTGATATTCTTCCCTTGGAAGTGCTTTTGGGAGTCCCATAAATCTCTTGTGTTCTACTTAAAAATAATAATTATTTCTTTTCTGTCTAAATTATAAATGTATTTTGTTTTTTGAAACAGTGAGATGGATCCACATGTTAGAGATTGTATAAGGAGTTACACGGAAGACTGGGCGATCGTAATCAGAAAGTAAGTCTCTCGGATACTGTCTGTTTAACTGTACTGGTGGATCAGTGGCTAAGAACACTTGCTGCTGTTGTAGAGGACACAGGTTTGGTTCAGGGCACCCACATCACAACCATCTGGAATTCTAGTTTCAGAATAGCTCATAGCCTCTTTAGCATTCAGGCACAAGGCATGCATATGATCACACACGTGCAGGCCAGCACTCATACATAAAATGAGAATAAGTAAATCTGGAAAAATTAACCTAGTAGAATTTTAATGTATTAAGTTATATTTCATAAAAATTGTGAGACAAAAATCATTAAACAAAATGGTCAAAGAAGCAGATTTTTATCAATAGATATATTATTTCATGGAGCTCCATACTTTTGCTTGTTTTCTTTATAAAATATTAAGCTTGAAGGAATACTATTTTTGTCTTGTTAAGAATCAGTACAGACTGATTGGATATAATGATGATAATTCTGTAGGCTCATTCTCTTAGGAAATCATGAGGGATATTGCTGAATAGTTTTTCTCAAAAAATTGAGGTTTTGTAAAACTTGCATAGCTAAGTTAAATTTAAAAGCCTATTTTCAGATCCAGCTATTTGAAGTTTTTTTAAAATATTGATTGATTATTAGTTATTGGCCTCAGAGTCATGGTGGCTCATCATTAATTGAGGCATGATGGGAGGGAAATTAACGTTAATGGGTAATTAATCATATGCTAGGCATTTTATTGAGGGCTTTTATGCTCATAGCATTTACGGATTCAATTGATAGGGACCTCAGACTCAAAGCAGTTAAGGACACATTTTTCTGAGGTCCCAGAAACCAAAATGGAGGTGGCCAAGATTAGAAGCTAGGGCAGCAGATTCAAAAGCATACAATTTTTCTGTCACATTAAATATTGTTATCTTCCTTGATCAGTGGGAGACGAAAGGGTGAACTAGAAGTTGTTGGTGTCTCAGAAAGACAGAAGGCGTGTGACCTGGACACAGGAGAACTATGATGCACTGTTCTACTTTGTGATCAGTTCTCGGCTACTAGGTTTTTATAAAAATGTTGTTAGAAAAGAAAGTATATTATATTAATTTAGAAGTTCCAAACTCCTCCGTATGTGTGTGTAAACTAATATATGTATATAATGATATATAGATCTTTTTGTTTTTCATTTTACATTGTAGACTTAAATTGAGAGCTTTTCTACAATAGTGAGTTGCTGAAATACTTTTAAAATTCTACGCATATATATCTATTTACATTATTAAAATTTTATATTATTAATATAATATGTATTTTCTACTAGTTTATTTATCCTTGGCTCCTTGCTTTTTTTCTGTTTGCTTGTTTTAGCTGACGATTTTCTGAATAGAAAGTAAAATTTAAGTTATATACATCATTGGCACGAGAGGAAGAAAATAAGATTTACTTTTAGAAATGGATAGTCTGCTCTTTATTTGAATTAAAGGAACTTTGGGCAGACAGGTTTTTTTTTTCTTTTTTTGGTCTTATTTTTGTTTTTCATTTTTCCTTGAGGCATGGTTACTTTGTACACAGAAAATGTGCATTGACTGTCCTGGGACAGCCTATAGACCAGGCTGGTCTCAAACCCACGGAGATCCTCCTGCCTCTGTTTCCAGAGTGCTGGGATTAAAGGTGTGTGTCATCACTACCTGGCTTTTTTTGGGGGTGGTGAGCAGTGGACAATTTCTTAAATCCTGGGTTTATCACACTTAGAACTGCTAGCAGAGTTTCCTGTTGTGTTTGTGAGTAAACAAATAATTATGTATATATATATGCAATTTTTACATAAGAATGCAGAAAGAGAGATTTTCAGAAATTGATTTTATTTTGAATAGATACCATAAACTGGGAACAGGATTTAACCCTAACACGTTGGACAAGCAGAGAGAAAGACAGAAAGGACTGCCCAGACAGGTCTTTGAATCTGATGAAGCTCCAGATGGCAACAGCTACCAAGATGAGCAAGTAATATTTTTATTCTTAAGTGACTATGAGAAAGTATTTTTTTGTTAATTAATATATCAATATTTATAGTTTAATATTTTTCATAACAGGATGACCTTAAAAGACGTTCGATGTCAATAGATGATACTCCAAGGGGTAGCTGGGCCTGCAGTATATTTGACTTAAAAAACTCACTTCCTGATGCCTTGCTTCCTAATTTACTTGATCGAACTCCAAATGAAGAAATAGACCATCAGAATGATGACCAAAGGAAATCAAACCGTCACAAGGAACTGTTTGCTTTGCATCCATCACCAGATGAGGTATTGCCTTTGCATATAAAGAAGCAAAGGAGGCCAGGCGTGGTGCATTCCTGTCATCCCAGCTACTTGGAAAGCTGAAGCAGGAGGATCACAAGTTTTAGGATTATTTGGGCCACATAATTAGTTCAAGGCAAACTTGGGTATCTTAGTAAGAGCCTATTAAAAACTAAGCTAAAAGTGGGCCAGGGATGTGGCTCAGTGGCCGGAGCACTTACCTACTATGTGCAGGGCTGTAGATTTGGTCTTCAGAGCCACAAAGAGGCAGCAAGTGATTGTTAAGATACTCAGTTGGGGGTATGATTTGTACTTAGTATTACAGCTATGTTGGAAACAGAGCCGTTGGATTTATGAGCTAAATATGCTTTTAGTACTAGTGGGCTGGTTTTTAACGAGGAGTGCATTGAATGTAATGGCTTCTGTTTATACGAATGTGGCGTTCTTTGCTGTGTTTAATTGTGAAGACTGGAAGTATCAGAATGCTTAAAGTCTTAAAGACAAGTGGCAAGTTTTCATATTGGTGTTACTTCTCACTCTGTAGGAAGAGCCAATAGAACGGCTTAGCATTCCTGATGTACCCAAAGAGCATTTTGGACAGAGACTTCTTGTAAAATGTTTATCACTAAAGTAAGTATTTCTTTTACTGTATAATTTCTATTACCTAGGCAGTTATTTTAATTACTAGTGTAACAAAACTTTAGACTTTATACTTGTGTGTTGTATTTATGAGGAATGATATTCCTTTTTTCTTTTGAAATTATTGTTATTTTTAAGATCTTATGTATTTATTTTGATTTTAAGAAAAATGTTTAATTATAGTTAGTGTTTTCCACATAATACATCTACTGTGTATACCTATTCAGAGAAGAGAAAAATGTACATATATAAGAAACCACTGTATTCAAATTATTTGGCTTATAAAGCTGGAACTGCAGCCGGGGTGGCGGTGCATATCTGTAGTTGTGGCATTTAGTAGGTTGCAGACAAGGGGCATGGGTTTGAGGCCACTTGAGCTGAAACAAAACTCTCTGTTTTTCTCTCAGAAAAAGTCATCTATATTTTTAAGTTTTATGAATTTTTAAGTGCACCTTAAAATTTCTTTCCCCAAATAATTTCAGATTCAGGAGGCTTTTGTGTAATGAGGACAAAAGAGAGAGACAGTCCGTGTATGGTTCCTGCCAGACTCCGGGAGCCAGCCTGTTAGTCTTTTTGCAGCGTTCATGTTAGGCTAAGGAAAGGATAGTTTGGATAGTTTCCTCCACACATTCATGGAGAAATTGACAGGCGTAGATCTCGGACTTTTACATTAAAATATTCTATAAGGAAAACCTAGGATTTTTTGCAAAGTTTTATTTTTTAACATTTTTTATTTAAACATAATTTCATATATCTTTGATCATATTCTTCCCCCTCCCCCAATTCCTCTAAGATTTTCCCTGCCTTCCTTCTCACCCAACACCATGTTCTCTCTTACTTTCTTTGCCTCTGTATCTCTCAGGAAAAGAAACAAAAGTGAAAATCAAAATAAATAAACAAAAATCTCAATAGAACAAAAATACAAAACCAAAACAGAAAGAACACATTTTATGATTGGTCAGCTGCTCTTGGGCAGGGGACCTGCTCTGGGTGTAGTTGATATGCTCAGTGACACTTCTTTGGGGAGAACTTGTTCTTTTTCCCAGCAGGTACTGATTATAAATAACTTCTTGGTTGGGGTTGGGTTAGAAGTTTGTGTCCACTTCTGAACTGGGACCTGTTCAAGCTGGCATGAACCTGTCAAGTCTTGTGCATACGGTCAGTCTCTGTGAGTTAATATATGTACCAGTTGTGTTGTGTCTGGAAGATGCTGTTTCTTTGGAGTTATCCACCACCTCTGTTCTTAGAATCTTTCTGTCTCCCCTTCTGCATAGATCCCTGAGCCTTGAGGAGAGGGGTTTAATAAAGATAGCCACTTAGGGCTGAGGTCTCTAGAGTTTCTACAGCATTTGCCACATGTTGTCCAGTTGTTCTGTGTTAATTGCCATCTACTGCTAGAAGATGCTTCTCTGATGATAGCTGATCAAAACACTGTTCTGAATCCTAGCCAGGTGTCTTATTTTATTTTTGATTATGTGTATGAGCATGTAAATACAGGCGCTGGAGGACACTAGATCCCTGGAACTGGAGTTACAGTCGATTGTGAGCCATCCAGCAAGAGTGCTGGGAACAGAACTTTTGTCCTTGGCAAGAGCAGCGTATGTGCCTTTCTCTGAGAAGAGAGTCATCTTTGCAGCCCCTGAAGTGATCTTCATTTAGAAATAGAAAGCATCTTGGGAGACAAACACAAAGGTTAATTTCATGACCTTCTTTTCTTTTCTTTTCTTTTCTTTTCTTTTCTTTTCTTTTCTTTTCTTTTCTTTCCTTTTCTTTTCTTTTTGGTCTTTTGAGACAAGATTTCTCTGAGAAAGTAGCCTTGGCTGTCCTGGAACTCACTCTATAGACAAGGTTAGCCTGGAACTCAAAGATCCACCTGCCTCTGCCTCCTGAGTGCTGAGGTTAAAGGTGTGCATCACCACCATCCAGCTTTATGAGCTTTTTAAACTCACTTGTTCACTAATCTCCAAATTAAAACCAACTATGGAAGGCTTAGTTTTCGTGCCTCCTTGCCCAGGGACAGTGTTGCCAAAGCAAGCTTGAGAAGCATTTTTTATGGCTCACACTGAATAGTATGTAGTTTCCATGTTGGTATATGAAGCTAGAGCATTTTAGAGACAGCGGTAAGTGCTGCACCTGTACAACCCGTCTTCCAGCTTTGAAGAGCATTTACCACCGTCTGTGGTGTTTGCTGGCCACTGTTTGATGGGGAGTTAGGATGACAAGAAATCTCTCATTTTGAGACAGGGTCTCATTATGTATCTCTGTCTGTCCTGGGATTTACTATGTAGACCATGACCACTTGCCTCATGAGTGCTGGGATTAAAAGTACACACCACTGTGCCCAGCAAGAAGTCTTTTTCTCTAAAGATCTAGTTTCTTCTTTTCTGTAGGTTGGACTCTGTTTTGAAGTGTGTTTTCCTGTGATGACAGTTAAATGTCATGTGCCCTTGGGGTGACTTCATACCTGTGTCCTGCTTTCCCAGTAGTTTCGCTTAGTTTTTGCTGTCTGTCTTCAGAGTAAGTCTACAAGCCAAGCTGTATTTTCTTTATTTTACAAACAAGAAAATGTGAATTAAAGATAATTAGTATGAATTCTGCTTAATATTGCTCAGAGAGTCATTGAAAAAAGAAACCTTTCTTTTCTCATTGTAGTGTGTTATTATAGGCTTATTAGTTTTAAGAAAAAAGATTTAATTTCTAGCTTTCTGTACAAAGGAGATCAGCCGGAGAGATTTCTTTGTCTGTATTATGACAGTTTTCTTTCTTTAGAAGCCAAAGCTTTATGCATTTAGTTAAGTTCATGTAGAAACGTCTTAGATAAATTGAGTAGACTTTTCTGCATATCTTGACCTCTACATTATATTATACTTAAAGTCCTTTTAGCAGCCATGGTGATACTGGTTGTGTACCACAAATTTATTTATTGACAGGGTCTCATCTTTTCTAGGTTAGAACTTACTGTGCAGCTGACAATGACCTTGAGTTTTCTGATTCTTCTTCCCAGTTCAGGGATTATTAGAGTACATTCCTTCACCTGGTTTAGGCAGCCCCAAGAGTTGAATTCAGAGCTTTGTACATGCTAGGCAAGTACTCTACAACAGAACTACACCCTAGCTTTAAACTTTATAGTTGGAGGTCACCATAATGTGAACTGTATTAAAGGGTCACAGCATCAAGGAGGTTGAGGATCACTGCAGTAGAGTTAATAAGTACGTGAAAAGTTGTATATGGAAAGTTATTGCAGGACCACTTACCCTGCTGAGTCTCAAGGAGAAGAGGATGCAGAGTAGATATTTAGTGGTTGTCAAGTGCTGAAAGAGTCTCTGAGATCCCATTGTGCTCAGCCTTGGTTTGTGTTGCTAGGGGAGGTGTTAGCTGGAAGTGACAGGGAGGAAGAGTGAAGTCTCCCTTTGCAGTGTTCATTTCCTGTATTCCTTCCCTGTGGAGACCTCAGAAGCCACAGCTTCTCTGTCAAGGGCTGCTACCTTGTCTCTTGCTTACCACTTCCTTAGCCTTGGATTGATGATTTTCACAGTATATACACGGTTGTTTTCAGATTCTGTGCACATCTTTTTGAATGGCTCTTTATTGAACTTCTGCTGTGGAAATGTTATCTCTCTCTTAGAGGGGCGCTGACCTTGGCTTACAATCAGCAGACAGGTGCTGTGGAGCAGGTTATTGCAGCTCCAACACTACTTAGCAATCTTTTCTTAGTATGTCTTGCTGTTGGGGCTGCACAACGCAGGGTGCTCAGTCACATTCCAGACTTCTACTTTTGAAATATGAGTAATGTTTTTTCAGCTGACAGCCAAAATGGCCTGCAGCCATGGCCAGGTGTCCTCTTGGGCACATTGTCTTTGGCCGAGGCACCACTGTGCTGTTGTTTCAGTCAATCAACTTCTCACTAACTTTGAGTCAGTAAACATGTACCACCTTACTGTGTGCTAGCTCTGGTTAAGGGAAGTGTATTAAACATCTCAAGTATAAAGTTAGAAAGAACTTTCGACATTTTCATCAAACAGGAATTACCTTCCCAGCATTAAAATGATAAGATTTAAGATACAGAAATTTGCCCATTGACTATTGAGTTAAAAGAGCAGACCACAAAATAGTATTATATTCTTTATTTAAAGAAAAGTATTTCACATGCACATTTTACACAAGGACAAAAAGTCTGGGTAGATGGCCACCCAACTTCATCCCAGTTCTTTCTGCACAGAAGGAGTTTCCAAATGTTTCTGATTTTCTCAGAATGTTTTAAATATATTTATTTTTTTTGGGTGTGTATTATTTGATTTATAGCCTGGAAAAGAAAATATTTTAAAACTTTATTTCAGAGTGAACACACCTAAGTAAATAACCTAATTACAGGTTAGAAAGTAATTAGTGCCACAAAATGGACAGAAAATTCTGAGAGACTTAGGAAATTTAATTATTGCTGGAAAAATAAGGAGATTTATAAAGAGATCACATTGGTTTTGAAACTCTGAAAGATATATGTGGAAAGTGTCTTAGAAGGAGAAGTAATGCAGAGATAGGCATGAGTGTGAAAGAGGAAGGTATTGAAATAATGAAGTTTGAAATCCAGATTTCTTCTTTCCAAAGAGATCTTTCTGGATTTTGATCTGGATCTCTGGTGTGTGAGTCCCTGGTGTGTGTGTGTGTGTGTGTGTGTGTGTATGTGTGTGTGTGTGTATCTGTTTCTGTCCTGTTTCAGTCCATGTGTCCATGTGTGGATATGTACATGTGAGTATAGATGTCTGTGGTGTCCTGAAGAGGGACCCAGCTCCTCTAAAGCTGGAGTTCCAGGGTAGTTGTTAGCTGCCTCAGCCTGATGTAGGTTTTGGGAACTGAACTTGGGTTCTCTGCAAGAGCAGCTGTCTTATATGGATGAGCCATATCTCTAGCCCCAGATTTACCTTTCATGTGTATTTTGAAGTTAGTTTATCTTTTTTCTTCATAAAGGTTTGAGATTGAAATTGAGCCCATTTTTGCAAGTTTGGCTTTATATGATGTCAAGGAAAAGAAAAAGGTAAGTTTCTGGGATTTGATTGCAATCATTGTTATAACCATAAATTTCAGAAACCTGCTTACATTCTTTATAAGATAAACAAGTAGTGATTCCTCATCTGCTATTAACTGAATTTTACCGTTCCAAGACTAGTTATATGTTTTCTTCTTATAGGAAACACTTTAGTTGAAACCTGGTTTTTGATTTATTGAAAAAATTCCTAAAGCAAATAGCAGAAGCAACTTTTAAGAAATAGACAAGCAAGCTAGGGAGTGGTGGTGCGTGCCTTTAATCCCAGCATTTGGGAGGCAGAGGCAGGCGAATCTCTGTGAGTTTGAGGACAGCCTGGTTGAGGGTAACTGGGACTGTTACATAGAGAAGAGAAATCTTGTCTTGAGAAACAAAGAACAACCAAAAAAAAAAAAAAAAAGGCACGCTAATACTGGATTGGGAACTGTCTGAAAGCAGTATGTAGAAAATAAATATGACGATCACCGAAGTTTATTGATGGAGTTTGTAACCTCTTATAGCCACGGCTGTTTTGTGTCTATTTAGGTGGTGCATCTGAAGGAATGAATTTGGTTTACTGTGCTGCTTTTTTTGTGCTTCAGAGTTTTCAGGGGGCATTAAACAGCTTTTCTTGATATTTCTTTCTTCTTCTCCCTCTCCTTCCCTTTCCCTTCCCCTTCCTCTGCTGTGTCTGGGGTGCTGGGGATGGAGCCCAGGGTTCTGAGCATTCTAGCCTGGAAATTAGCCCTTGACCACATCTCCAGTCCAGCATTTCTTACTTTAGTATAGTAAGTCATGCTGAAGTAGAAACTTGAAGGTGCCTTCAGTATCAGCATATGACCTGTGATAGATTTCTTCAGGAGAACTTGCTCTAGTAGCTTATATTTGTAAAATGAAAATTGCTGAGATGTTATTAACATAAAGTTTTAAAATTCAGTTTGTAGTCAGTCAATCAGTGGTAATTAGCTTAGCTGTATTTTAAACTAAGGAACTTAAGTCTCATTAGAAAATGTTTCTATGTTATATTCCAAAGTAGCTCATACAGTTTTTTGACCTTGATGTAGGAATGTAGATTGGTCTCAGTGAAATATATACTCAACTACAAATTAGAATGGAGTGTTTTAGAATATAATCTTTCATTATGTATATTTTATATATATATGCTTTTTGTGTATTTCAAAAATTTTGTAGAAGTGTAATATATGAATGTATTTTTCAGATTTCAGAAAACTTTTATTTTGACCTTAATTCAGAACAAATGAAGGGATTGTTACGGCCACACGTACCACCTGCTGCCATTACCACTCTGGCAAGATCAGCCATTTTTTCTATAACTTATCCTTCCCAAGATGTCTTTCTTGTGATAAAGGTGAGAATATCTTTAACAGGTGTATTTATTGTTTGGTGTCTATTCCTGTCATTGTCAATATTGCAAACTTAGTAACCTGTTTTTACTTGGTTTTGTCTTTGAGTCTTTGCAATGCCACATTGGACATATGCTCTAGTTACAACCTGACTTTTGACTTTCCCTGAATGGGAAGTAGAGTTAATCGTGGCTCTGCAGTCAAAAAGCAGTGGGTTGTCTTAAGGATTGCCTCACGGGATCCTGGGAGCTGACAGCTCTCTCTCTGATTTGTAGGGCAAGCTGCCACATGCTAGTCCACCTAGCCTTGAGTACAGAGTCCACGTGGTAACGGACTGGAGTCTGAGGCTTGGTTTCTGTTTTCTTCAGGAAACCTCAATCTTTGTAAACCTTTCAGCTGATTCACTCACACAGTAGAGATTAATCGACTCTAGTCAAAGTCTACTATTCTAATCGTTGATGATCTCTTAAAAAAAGAAAAACAAAACACTTTTCCAGCAACGTTTAGAGCAGTGTTTTCATACTGTGGGTCACAACCCCTTTGGGGCTTGAATGATCCTTCCACAGGGGAGACATATCATAGATCCTGCCTAGCAGATGTGTACATTATGATTCATAACAGTAACAAAATGACAGTTATGAAGTAGCAATGAAATAATTTTTTGGCTGGGGGGGTCATTGCAACATGAGGAACTATATTAAAGGGTCACAACATTAGGAAGGTTGAGAACCACGGACTTAAAGGAATGTTTGATCAAATAACTGAATATTCGGGTCTGTTTACATTAACGCTCATAGTTGCTATGGTGCAATTATTTTACTCAGTTTCTAAGTCATATCAATATGAAAGCTAAACTGTTGAAGTCCTAGGTCATTGTGATTTGACTATCAACCAGGTACAGTAAGAGTTGCTCTCTGGGCATAGAGGCACATGCCTATAACAAGCGTTTAAAAGGTGGGGGCAGGAGGTTGGAAACTTAGAGGGCAGCTGGACTACCTAGCAAAAGCCTGCCTCTGAAAAAGCAAAACAAAGTGAAAAAGCAGCCACACAATCTCCGAGCATACTTCCCCCAGAAAAGTAGTTAGAAATTCTATAGACTAGCCATGCTGGTGATAAGGTCTATGATTCCAGCTCCTTGGTAGGCTGAGGCAGGAGGGTTGCAATTTCAAGGCTAGGTTGGGTTATAGAGTGAGCTTGAGGCCAGCCTGGGCAACTTAAGGAAAACTTGTCTCAAAATCAAAAGTAAAATGAGGGCTGAGGATGTAGGTTCATCCCCAGCAACTGGGGGATAAATTCAGATATTACTATGCTGCTGTCTTGTTATAGCTTAAAGACTGATTGGGACCAGCAGGTGGCTCTGCAGGCCTATATATATAGGTGTTCACTTTTTAGCCCAGCTCAAGTACTTGAGTTTGTTCCTTGAATCCATATGGTGGATGAAGAGAATCGACTCTGGCATGCTGGTGGTACCATCTCCTTCATACACAAAGTAAATAAATAAATATTCAAGACAGATAAACAGAAGAATTTGGTTACTTGACTTTGGTTAAATTGACCTTGACTTGAGAGAAGCCTACAATATATTCCTTAGTCCCTTATTTATGTGAAATTATGATAAAGAGGTAATGAAATTTTTAATAAGACTGTAAAGTGGATTTTCATAAAAATTAGCCCTTTTTAACCCACAGGAATAATGTCCCAATTTGTTGGGTGCATTCCTATGAATTCAGGTTAAAATTAGTCTTAGTTTCAATGAACAGCCCAGGAGAAATTCACTTTAGAAAATCCTCTTAAGTGAGGTGAGTGAGTTCTCCTGGGTGTGGTAGTGCATACCTTTAATCCCGCCTTCATCTCAGCACCACAGAGGCAGGTGCCTCTGTGAGTTCAAGGCCAGTCTGGTCTACACAGCAAGTTCTAGAACAGCCAGACCTACATAGAGAGACCCTGCCTTCAAATACCTCTTATGATGATGATGATATTATATTTATTATATATAAAATAATAATATGATTTTTTTAAAAAGAAATGAACATGAATGAGCAATATAGTTATTTTACATGGGTAAAATGGCAAGTTTTCATAAACTAGATCATCTCAGAAGAAAAGAGCTAGTAAGGGAAAGATGACTGGAATATAGACGGCTTGGAAATGAAATGAAGAGATTTAGTCGTCATAATGGGAATAAGTGGCTTTAAGGAATAGAATAAAAACATTGAATGTAAACGCTCATTACAAAGAAATAGGTAAATCATGATAAATTCATATGCAGAATCATAATTTGAAAAATGATGTTATGTAACAAACAATGAGAATAATGAAAAATAAGTCTATATATCATAATACTGATTAAATATAAGCAAATGTAGATTTGCATGTATATATAAACGCATGTGTATGTGAGAAATGTTTTGTAATTTCCAAAATGAAAAATATTACTAAATTTTGTTTTATTTGATGTATTTGGTTGTTTTCTGTGCATGTGTCTGTGATGCCCGCAGAGGTCAGAAGGGCGTCAGATCCCCTGGGAACTGGAGTTACAGATGATTGTGACTGTCATATGGCTGCTGGGAATCAGACCTTGGTTCTCTTGGAGTAGCATGGTCTCCTAAGTGCCAAGCCATCTTTTTATCTTGGGCCCTTTTAAAGGAAATTAGTTTTGGAAATTTTCTTTAGTTATTTGTGGTCCATCATGATATTCCCCCCCCCCCCAAGAAGAATAGTATAGTTTGGTTTATAGTTTCAGTCCATCATTATCATTTCTTGAGAGGAAATTTCCTTAGCACCTGTGTTGTGTAGTTGTTGTTATACTAGAACAAAGAGAGGATATCCCCGTGGACTGTACAGAAAGTCTTTATTTATAATTCTGTTACGGCGTTTGTATATTTATCTATACATTATGATATGTGCGTTGGTCAGCCAGTCTGGGCTCTAGTGTTTTCAGATGGTTGTATTTGTGTGTCTTTCTGTAGGTTGTTTGAAACCAGATGATCGTATTTGTGTTTGTACATTGTCTAGAATCAGTTGAATTGTCTCTGGCTGGAGATAGAGATGTTCTGTTTGTGTGTTGTTTTTAGTGGTAAATTCTTGATCTTTGTAGACATCCTAAAGAGTAGACTCAGTAGCAAGAGCTGTTTTTCAAGTCTTCGGCCGTATCACAGCAGCTAACATCTCAGTTGCTAAAGCAGGTCATTAACAGAACATACTGGGTATATCTAATAGGCCACTTCTGGAAGGAAGTTTACAGATCTTGTAGCAAAGGGTGAAGAATTGGACTGTTAGTGCAGTATTGCTGACTGGAATATTTGGATTCTTATTCAGCAAGAATTATTAATTCCCTACCTTTTTTTGTCTTCTTTATTGGCTTGCTCGTTTGTGGCTAAGTAGATGCAGACGTTCTATTGTCTTCTATGTAATGTTATTTGGAAGAAAAAAAGCACAAAGCACATTGAAAGAAACTTACACAGACAAGTAAAACTTGGTTACACTTAGGTGATGTTAATAAAATGTACTTAAAATTATTTAAATTAAAATTTTATTGAAATATGATACAATTGTAGAAGAAATTATGGAAGTTGTAAATGTGTAGTTTGATTAATTATCCTATAATGAATATACTTATGTGAACACCCAGGTCAAGAAACAAAAAAGGAATTCCAGAAAACACCCTAACAAGCTTCTTTACTACAGTGTCTGTGTAATGTAATACCCCCATTCCATCCATTGCCCCGTTTCTCTTCAACACGGGTCCCGTTTTTGAACAGTTAAAGGGATCAGAGAGAGAGCAGAGTTGGGGAGGGAAAGAAAGGGAGAAAGAACTTTTTTCCCTTCCATATAATTCAGTAGTCGGTATTGTTGCTTGAAACAAGTTTTAAATATATTTTATTGCTTCTTAGTATTTCATGGTATGAATATATGATAACTTGTCCGTTATATTGGCTGGGGACACTTTGGTTCATTTAAATTTGTGACTTGTATTTTGACTTGATGAACATTTGCAATCTGTTAGGAGTTTAAGTGTGGTTCATATACCTAGCTGAGACTCCACTGGAGAACACTGATTTCCCCTTTGCCAGCAGCTATCAATTGCAGATAACATCTTGGTTAAGGGTGAGACTTTTTCTCCCTCTCAGTGTTGAGACCCCATCTGGCTTGAACCTGTGTAGGCCCTGTGTCTGCTGTCAGTCTCTGAGTTCACATGTGTACCAGTCCTGTTGTGTCTGGAAGACACTGTTTCTTTGACCCACATCTAGAGCTCCTACAGTCTTCCTGCCTTTTGTACTCAGCTGTCTGAGCTGTGAGGGGCAGCGTGATGAAATCAGGTCTTGATGCTTACATAAGTAGCCATCCACAAAGTGAGCCAGTTCCCCAGCCCTGTTTCAAAATAGAAGTAAATTTTAAAAAATCATAGGAAAGGCCTGGCGATGGTGGCGCACGCCTTTAATCCCAGCACTCGGGAGGCAGAGGCAGGCGGATCTCTGTGAGTTCGAGACCAGCCTGGTCTACAGAGCTAGTTCCAGGACAGGCTCCAAAGCCACAGAGAAACCCTGTCTCGAAAAATCAAAAAAAAAAAATTATAGGAAATTGAGATATTTTAGAAAAATATGGGAATTGAAAAAAATCTGTCAGGGGAGGCTAGAGAGGTGCCTTAGTGGTTAAGATCACTTGACGCTCTTACAGAGGACCTGAATTCAGATCTCAGCACCTCTTCAGGTGGTACAGCATCACTTGTAACTCCAGCTCCAGGGCATCTGACGCCTTCTGACTCCCGTGGGCACCTGCACGTGATGTCTTGATTTGCTTTGTATTGCTGTGACCATGACTAAAAGCAATTTGGGAAGAGTCTAAAAGGTATTGTTGCTGATTTTAGTGGGAAAGTTTTGAGTCACTCTTGAGAATGTTAGCCATGTGCTTTTCATATATAGCTTCATTAGATTAAGATAGTTTCCTTGTATTCATAGTGTTTTGAGTGTTTCTATAGGGAAATGGTTCTGAATTATTTTTTAATCCATTTTTATTCCCCTTTCGTCTGACATCCTATTAATGTGTGCTGTATTATATTAATTTTTATATTTAATATATTGAAGCATCCTTTCATTTTTGACTAAGTACATTTATTTTTAAAACTTTAGGTAAACTTTTCTGTGTTTGCCTCTGACAGCTAGAAAAAGTCCTACAGCAAGGAGACATTGGAGAGTGTGCAGAGCCATATATGATTTTCAAAGAAGCTGATGCCACCAAGGTACCATGTTAGGCCCTGATTTCCCCATTCCGCTCCTATTGTAATTTGGGAAAAATAGAAACATGTACGGTCCTTTAAAAATTTTTACTGTTAATTTATTTCTTTCTCTTTTTCCTTTCATGCTGATCCCTGTTTTCTTTGTCATTTAGCATGTGTCAAGTCCTGTGCTAGTCTTAAAAGTCTCTTACACCTACATCTACTTCTTTAAAAGTTGTTTTTGGCGGGAGAGGCAGAGAGATAACTTAGTGTGGGTAATGGCATTTGTTGTGCAAGCCTGGTGACCTTAACTTGACCCCAAACTCCAAAATGTTCTCTTCTGCACTTGAAGACATAAACAGTGAAACACTCCTCCCATGACTCGCCCCCCACTAATAGTATTAGTAGTAATTGTAATTTAAGTAGAGCTTAGTAAATATTCTCTTGATGAGAACTAAGCTAATTAACTTCTAATTCATTTAAAAGTTATGTTATATACAAAATAGTGATGTTGATAAAATCAGTGTTCCTAACATTGAAATTACTGTGATTTTGTCATCTTGAGAGAAAAGAAAGATGGGCAAGGGTCATGCACACATACGTTCGTAAGTAGGAGGTTAGGAAAGTAGCGTAGTTGTGGTATCATTAGCAGCTGCCAGTAATAAAATATCCAGGCTATGACTTGTTAAGTTGTTTTGCTGTGAAAGAGGGAAGTAGCTGAGCTAATTTCTAACAGTCCATAAATTACAACAACATGAGGATGGGAGCAGGGACACAACCAGGGCACTGATAAACAGGTCCAGACCAGCAAGAAAAGAAAGAAAGGAAAAACACTGCTGCTGTATGATCGTGGACCAGCCACACACCCACATGTTGTAAGTCATCCTGAAGCTGGCTCAGAGTTCAGGACTCTGAAACCGGTCACTTCCTTCATTTAGAGTGAGATATGTGCTGCTGAGTGTTCTGCCGTGGGACTCAGCTGGTGTCCTGGTTTGCTTTCTATTCCCGGGATAAACACTATGCCTAAAAACAACTTTGGATTTGTACATCCTCGGCCATATCTGCATACAATCATAGTCCATCTGTCTTAGGATTACTGTTGCTATAGACCCAAGCAACTTGGGGAGGAAAGGGTTTATTGGGCTTACATTTCCACATATGGAGTCCATTGCTGAAGGTAGTCAGGACAGGAACTCAAACAGGGCGGGAACATGGAGGCTTGCTCAGCCTGCACGCATTCTTATAGAACCCAGGTCTACCAGTACAAGGATAGTACCAACCACAGTGGGCTGGGCCCTCCCCCATTGATCACTAATTAAGAAAATGCCTTACAGCTAGTTCTTATAGAAGCATTTTAATTGAGGTTTAATTGAGGTTCCTCGTCTCTGATGACTTATTATTATCTGATGACATTATTGCAAGTTGACATAAAACTGGCCAGTGCTCAATCACTGAGGGAAATCAGGGCAGGGACCTAAAGGCAGAAGACCATAAGAAATACTGATTACTGGCTTGTTCCAGGTTCAAGTTTCTGTCTTTCTGATACTCCTGGGACTACCACTGAGGTGGCACTGCCTGCAGTGGGCTGGGTCTCCCACATCAGTCATTAATTAAGAAAACATCCCACAGACTTGACTACAAGCTAATCTGATGGAGGCAGTTTTCTGAATTGAGGTACCCTCTTCCGAGCTGAGCCTTGTTTGTGTCAAGTTGGCAAAACCCTAAATAGTATAGCTAGGGGGATATAGAAAACTACCAAAATGGTACCAATATCTATTGCTGTGTCTAGTGTACATCCAAAAAAGTTCTTGCTTAAAGAACCTGAATATCACGTATAGCTCATTTGGTAGAGGTCTTTGCCAGCATGCACAAAGCCATAGGTTCACTCCCCAGCACCTCATGAAACTGATGTAGTTTATGCCTGTAGTCTTGGGGTGGAAGTGGTAGGATGGAGGTCTAAGGCTGTCCTTCAATATGTAGCAGGTTTGAGGGCAGTCTGGGATGCATGAACTCCTGACCAAAAAGAAAAGAAGGAAGAGAAAGTCGCCCAAATACCAAGTGTGCTTCTGTCTATCAGTCAATGTAAATATGTACAGAAAAAATAGACTAAGGCACTGGTGTACTTGTGAGTTTATGTAGCAGTACCGATTTAATGTGTTATATGATACCCAGGGAAACGCCAGAACAACTTAACATGAATATCTTTGTATGAGCAGTTATTTATTTATTTTTTTAAAGAAAGTTTTGAGAAGGCCTCAGTTTCTGAGAAATTTTTAAGGAACACTCAGGTTTTATCTGGAACTTATAAAGACAAACCTCTTCTAGATCTCTTTAATTCCTAGTTGTTCTGGCATTAAATCTTGTGTTAAAAAGATGGACTCTGGTGTTACTTCCTTTCCTCAAAGATCACTTACAGTACATCCGTGTGCTTGGCCCTCTCAAGGTGATGTAATCATAAACAGATTTCAGTGCTCTGTTCCATGCATACATTCGTAGAATGATTTGAGGAGTGGTGTTCAGGTTGTACCTTGTATTTTAACTGATGAAAGTTGCTATTTTCTCTTCACAATGAGGATAGAACCTGGGTTGTTGCACATGACGGGCAAGCAAGCACTCCACCTCTGAGCCTCATGCTAGGCCTTTCTTTACTGTCTTTGCTGAGAACTGAGCACTTAACCTGCCCTCAGTACTGTCTGAATTAGCCCTTAGGTGCTTACCTTCAAGTGTGATCATGGATAAAGTTATGTTTTACAGAATAAGGAAAAATTGGAGAAGCTGAAGAGTCAAGCTGACCAGTTTTGCCAGAGACTTGGGAAATACCGCATGCCTTTTGCTTGGACGGCAATTCATTTAATGAATATTGTTAGCAGTGCTGGCAGTTTAGAAAGGGACTCCACAGAAGTAGAAATCAGTACTGGAGGTAAGATTGCTTTGTATCTGTTATTTCTAAAGCAATAATCTCTCCGCCTTCTATAGGCTCACTTTATTGTAGCCTGGGCAGTGTCCTGCGACTTGTTAGAAGATTTCCTTAGCTGGGTTGGAGCTACATGCCTATAATCCCATTGCTTGGCTGAGTCAGCAGCAGTTTCAGATCCAGGTCAGCCAAGGCTTTGTTTATGAGGCTCTGCCACCTGTCACCCTAAATCAAAAAGAAGGGGCAAATAAATTTAAATATTGTATATTTATTGAAATACAATTTGCATGTTATAAAGTCATCCACTTAAAGTATATGCTACGGTGCTTTATTTTGCTGTGGTCATGGGGCTCTAAAGGCACCACCAAAGTCAGTGTTTAGAACATGTTCATACCTATTAGTAATTACTCCTCATTATCCCCAAATTCCCAAGCCCATCCCTAAACAGTCACTAGTATACTTTCTGTCTTTATGGGTTTGTCTATTTCAGGCATATAATGTAACTAGAATTAAATAGTGTATGGTGTTGGTGGCAAGCTTGCTTCATATAATATAATGTTTTCACAGGTATTACCCGTGTGTAGCATGTTTTAGTATTTGATTTCCTTTTGTTGTCATGACATTCCATTGTATTTATATACTGCATTTTATTTAATCTGTTCATTATTGATAATAATTTGAATTTATGAATATACTGCATTATTATATAATCATTTCTATTTGTAAAATCTAGTGATGTCACTTGATTCGTAATTTTAGTGCTTTGTGTTTTTTCCTACAGTTTAGCTAAAGGTTTGTCAGATTTAATAGTCTGTTGACTTTTTCCTCTAGTTTCTGTTTTACTTATTTCCATTCTACCACGGTCCTTATGTAACTCTCTGGTGTTTTTGGGTTTAGTTTCTCTTTCTGAAAAAAATAGTTTCTCTTTCAGTGCATAGTGATCCTCATGACTTGGCTTCTCCATTGTTGTCATGGAGACATGGGGAATCACTGCCAGCTTCTTTAGACACATAGTTCCTTAAAGTATGAGATGAAATTACGGTTTCAAGAGTTTGTTTTCTTTATTTTAAATTTGAGTCTTGCTATTATCGCAGACCGGCCTTGAATTTTTGGTTCTCTTTCGTTAGTCTTCTGAACGCTGGGATTATCAACTGTGCCATGTCAGGATGAGGTATTTCTTTTGATTAGAAGCATTTCTGGCCATCACATCCCCCAGAGCCCGTAGCAGTATCTGGCCATCATCACCTGCCCTAGAGCCCTGCTGTAGCAGTATCTCACATGTTTTGGTGTGCTGCGTCTCCATACTTCTTACTTTCTGATTTCCTTTGGGAACAACTCTTTTTTAGAGTTCCTATTTCTTTTTTAGAAATAGTGTCTTTTTTCACTTATGCATATTTGTGAATTCCCTAATTATTCTTTTATTGTTAATTTATAGTTTATCCAAGTTTTAGTAAATACTTTATTTTCATCTTTTTGGTCTCTTCATATCTTGTCTTACGTCCTGGAGAATGTCTTATAACTTGTTGATAACAGTGTTATTCTGCTTTTGCCTAGTAGAGTATGGTATAACCAACCATCTTTAGACCACAGTGCTTGCATAGTTCTAAAATTCTTCTTTCTGTGTTGATCTTTAATATCATTGTCCTTTTAGTTCACAAAAGTGGGGTAATGTTGTATGTGTGGGTTTGCATTCCAGCAGCATGGAGGGGAAGGTTATCATGCCAAGTCTTTGAACTTGTACCTGTCTTTTGAATTAGTTTCAGCTCAAATGCTAAGGCTGAGAGACAGTTATAGTTCACTTAGGTGGGTCCTTCATAGTGATGCATAGTTCTCTTGTGCTGACTCGCTGCATCGCTGGGCATACAGTTAGATCATCATATGCTAGAGACTCCGTACTGGCCACTGTAGAAGTGAGGCCCAAGATTCAGATGGAATGCTTTCTTACTCCTTACCCTAGTAGTGAATCCTTCTAGAGTAACCTGTCAGCTGAGTAAAGTACAACTTTCAACACGAATGGATTCTTTCTCATGTTCACTTTATATAAAACGGACAATCTTCTTTCCTCTTCGTCAGAACGCAAAGGTTCTTGGTCAGAGAGGAGGAACTCTAGTCTTGTTGGTAGGCGGTCTCTGGAAAGGACAACCAGTGGCGATGATGCTTGCAACCTGACCAGCTTTCGGCCTGCCACCCTCACTGTGGCAAATTTTTTTAAGCAGGTAATGCTCTGTTTTGTGGGGACTTTGGGGAGGTGTTAGTAAGGCTATCACTTGCTTTTAGGAGAGCGGTTAACTGTTTTTCCATGTATGTCCATGCCATAATGTCAAGAACTTCTAGCAGCTTTTAAATAAAAATGAATATAAGAGTAAAAACTAGTAAGAATATGAAATAATTGACATTGTATTTGTTTTATCACTAACTTTATTTAAATGTTTACATTGACATTTTCAATGCATTAAAATTTGTCTTTCATACCTATATCTTATTCAGTTGTTATAATGAACTTATCTATTTTAATTGTTATTATCTTTAATTCTGTGTATGCACGTGTATCTGTGTGTGGGCATGTAGGCAGTTCCTTGCAGAGACCAGTGACATCAGATTGTCCTGGAGCCACAATTACAGGTGGTTAAAGCCCATATTATTATGGGTGTTAGGAACTGAGCTTGGGTCTTCTGCAGTACAGCACGTGGTCTTCACCGCTGAGCCGTCTAGACCCCAGTGGCCTTTTCTTAAATACTGACGGCTTGTGAATTGTCAGAGTGATGTGTGCTTCCCCACCCACCATATGCTGAACTTCACTGGCTCACCCGTGATTCATGGAGCAGAACTTCCCGACTCCACCTCTATGCTGAGTGTGGGAGGTAATGTTGAGTAGCCAAGACACTTTTTTCATCAAACATTTTATTCTACTTCTAATTTTCTGTCTACTTCTAATCTAATCAATGTTTTCCGCATGTCATTTCATGAAAATCAATTTAGTAGGTAACACACAGCTTTAAAAAAAAGTATTGAAAATCTGAAAAATAAGTGCATTTCATATATTGAGTTTAAATATTGCTTCCCAAATCCCTCCTTTTCCCTCTTTTTTTTTTTAATGTAGATACATTTGTACGTGTATGTATACACTGGGTTTTGATGTTAAATGGGTTTTATATTGTGAATGAAGATTTAAAAATTTAAAATGTGTTTTATGTGGCCAGATGACCCAAAAACTATGGAAGAATGAGAAGAAAACTTTCTATTAGTGTGACAGACTAGTGAGGTGTACCAACCATGAATTTGGGAGCAGATAAGAAAAAGCTCCTTCTGAGGTGTTACTCTGAGTGGGATGGAGCAAACCCTGGCCTGCTAGTGGATTGTACTTGAGAGGCCAAGAGCAGAATGCCTGTGCTTTGAGCTGGAGAAGTCTCCTTGAAGCCATGGTCCGTCAGCAGCTCTGAGCATGGATGGAGGGCTTCAAATTAAAGTATTATTTAACATATATAAAACAAAATGGGTTATCTGTATTGATGGTAATATGTCATGTTTTATTACATGTGTACATTGTGTAATCTTTATGTATGTTAAACATTTCCAACTTCGCAAATTTTGGTTACAGCTTTACTGTGAAAACTACATGTTCTCACAATATTTTGAAATTAGAGTTCATCATTTCAGTCTATAATCACACTCTAGTTGGCTCTGTTTTTAGTACTAGAAGTCGGGTACCGCACAAATGCTTATAAAAAGTTAAAAATAAACGATTGCTCGAAACACAGGGCAGAGCAAAGCTTTCCAGTTGACATTCTTCATTGAAAATATTTAGCTATAAATATGTATTATTTTTGTAGGTATTTTAAATAGCTAGACTATTATACATCACAAAAATGCAAATTAAGTAAAAAGCAGAGACTGGTTTTATTTAGCAAAGTAGAATTCAGTCAATAAATTTCCCTTATATGAGATTCAGCTCCACTTCCCCATTTTATGAGAAATTACTCCCTGTAGTTGTAGTGGTATAGTTAATCATGTAATGTTTCAAGTGTCCACAATTATTAGAAATACACAGAGGTTTTAAAAGAAAAGTAAATCCATACAGCGATTGTAAAGACATTTGTTTTATACATTAATACACTTGTGTTTTTGTGTCAGGGGCACACAGTACTAAACAAACAGTGACGGGAAAAGTTTCAGCTTGGCCATTCTCATGAGCTTAACTTCTTCCCTCATGTGGAGGTTGGCTGTGTCAGCTGACCTAGATTGGTTTCTAGAAAAACTCAGTTTTTCCATCCTCTACCAGAGGAAGAAATTCAAGAGCGGACCAGCCGGCTTGTATGAATGCTCTAAAAGTGTCAGTTTAGGTATTTGCTCAATGACAAGAGGGAGGTACATAGAGCCACGCATAGGGAATGAAATTGTGTCCCACCCAGTAAAAGGCACAGAAATGGATGGTAATCATCACTAAAGAAAGAAGGCTAGCTGGGTGGTGATGGCACATGCTTTCAATCCCAGCACTCAGGAGGCATAGGCAGGTGGATCTCTGAGTTTGAGGGCAGCCTGGTCTGCAGAGCGAGTTTCAGGACAGCCAGGGCTATACAAAGAATCTCTTCCTGTCTCAAAAAAAAAAAAAAAAAAACCAAACAAAAGAGTAGATGTTAGTAATAAAACTTAATGCATTACGAAAATAAAAAGTCTAGAGATAACCTTCAGTGTATTAATGAATAAAGAATGAAGATCTATATTCTGTGCTCAATAAAAAGAATATACTGCTTTATATACTGTTTTAGCAGCTAATGAAAATTTTAAATTAATTAATCATATAAAGCCTCTACCTTTTTTTTTAATTTTATTTATTTATTAAAGATTTCTGTCTCTTCCCCACTGCCGCCTCCCCTTTCCCTCCCCCTCCCCCAATCAAGTTCCCCTCCCTCGTCAGCCCAAAGAGCAATCAGGGTTCCCTGTCCTGTGGGAGGTCCAAAAGCCTCTACCTTTTATCTATTTTTATTTTTTGGTTTTTCTATATAGGGTTCTCTGTATATCCTTGGTTGTTCTGGAACTCTCTGTAGACCAGACTGATCTTGAACTCAGAGAGATCTGCCGGCCTCTGATTTCCAAGTTCTGGGACCAAAGGTGTATGCCCCATCTCGGCTTGATTTTTATTTTATAAAGCTACATTTTCTACCTTTAACTCAATAAAAGAACAATTATTATTGTTGTTATTTATTTTTGTGAAAATGTAGCATGTCTGAAGATTCTGGATTTGAGAATTTTTGGAATATAAAGTTAAAAAATATATGATCTAAATCGTAATTAGTAATTGTCCCATGTTTTTGTATTTGTCTTCTTTTGGTTCTGTTTTATGTCTACATTCTTATTTTTCTTTTTATACCTACCTTTAATTTGCATCGATTGTCTGTATACTAGATGTTGTATGAGTAATAGATCATAACTGTGTACGTAAATTAAATGATTTGTAGCATTATAAATCTCAGGTTTGAAAACAAGAGACAGGTTAGGAAGCTATTTCTCCTAATAAATACATCAGTCTTTCTGGCAGCATATATGCATAAGTTGGTGTTTATTTGCAAACACTAAAAATTTATTTCTTATTGCCTGCTTTTGTTTTATTAAATACTTTTTCTCAATATCATTGAAATTAGGAAGGAGACCGCTTAAGTGATGAAGATCTGTACAAGTTCCTTGCTGATATGAGAAGGCCATCTTCTGTCTTACGGAGGCTGAGACCGATTACAGGTATTTCCAGGTTTTGAGTGATACGGTAATTGTGACTAATAATTATTTGCCCCTTTTCCCGTTTATCTGGCCCATACATCTTTCTGTGCTCAATACATGTCAGTGTTTTCTGTCTCACTACCATGTGGGCTAACAATTTGGATTCTGAATTCAGAACCATTATTAAATGAGCTCTAAACTGAGAATGATGAATTATAATTGTGGCTGAACGTGCATATGTATGGACAGCAAGTATAAAGAAGCGGGTCACTGCTGCTGTTAGAGCCGACAGTCCAGAGTAGAACTGACCAGGAGTCTGCTAAACCAGATGGTAACATCTGTGCGAAGAACCTGTCAAGCTGAAAATCAAGTCACTTCCTCTGGAAGTTTAGCCAGTCCTGTACTAGTAGTCTTGCTTTTGTTTTGGTTTTTGAGTACCCAGGGTTCTCTGTGGAGCCCTGGCTGTCCTGCCTCTGCCTGTTGAGTGTTGGGATCAAAGGTGTGCGTCTACACACCCAACTTGCTCTCTTGTTCTTTAATTCTTTACTTCCCATTCTTTCAGTTAGCATTTACTATTTTACATGCACCTATGCATGGATGTCATTTTTAACAAATTGAATCTTGATAAAATGGAATGAGTTCAATATCTAAGTGCTTGATTATTGATTTCTATACTATTCATCACAGATTTTTATAAAATAATGCCAAAATCCTACTAAGAACAATCTGTGTTAGTAAAAGTTCTGTTGCTGTGGCAGATTGCTTCGAATGAAGATAAATTACCTAAGATTAATCAACTTCAAAGGAGGAATGTTTCCCTTTGACCCGCTTTTCAGAGCTTCCAGTCGATAGGCGAGCAGCTTTGCTTTGGGACCAGTCCTGAAGTGTAACACTTCGGTCCAGCAAAGCTGCTTAGTGTATGGTTCGCGGAAGTAGACGGAAGGACCAGGGCATGCTTCTCAGGGGCACACATCCGATGGTGGAACTTCCTCCCACTAGGCCCTACCCCTTAACATCTCTGTCATGCCCTAGTTAGTGCCATGCCCTAGTGAAAACTCTCTGGGAGGCACTGAGACCCAAGGGTAGACATCACAGAGCATTTATGTTCACAGTGACTTTTATAATGTATTTCTCACAGCTCAGCTGAAGATAGACATTTCTCCTGCACCTGAAAATCCCCATTATTGCCTAACCCCAGAACTGCTTCAGGTGAAGCTTTACCCTGACAGCCGAGTCAGGCCCACCAGAGAAATTCTGGAATTTCCTGCCAGGGATGTCTATGTTCCAAACACTACTTACAGGTAAGATATACAATCTTGGTAAATTCTGAGATAAAATACTGTATATTCTAATATTAAAATAGAACCAGGATGAAACTCTTAATCTTATGTATATTTATTACTTTTTCTGTCTCTTATGCCTTCTACTCTTAAAGCACAATTTTATTAATAATTGTCATGTATGTCATAAGCTGTGCCTATGTGCCAGGTATAATGTTAATGACCTTACAAACTATAACCCTCATGTTCTAGGTAATTAAGCTGAAGGATGGAGAAATTTAAAATATTGCTGAGCATCGCATTTTAGTGTGGTGGTGGCCAGCGTTTGATTATAGGGCTGTTTGGTTAAAGCGTTTGAACTGCAGATTTATGTTTCCTCAAATGTTAGGTATTAGTAGAATTTTGGGTTACAAATTAATCTAATGCATATGCTTCTGGCATCAGGCTGTAGGTAATCAGCACTTGTGGAGTGTATGTTGTGTAGATAGCAACGGGCTGTTATATGTACGGCTTCTCAGACTGAACACTGTGCAGCTGCTGTCTAGGCCTTTGCACACACTGCCTGAGAATGATGCTCCTTTGTTGTTAATAATAATTAATTGTGGAGATCAAGACTTGACATGTCTGTTGGGAAGTCTAGCAGGTAGCTCAGAGACAATCTAAAACAGAATTTGAGTTTCAGTCCGGACTCATATGCCATCCCAATAGTGCTACTACCATTTCCCAAGCTCCTCAGGCCCAAATTTCTGGAATCATAGTGCTTTACTTCTTTCCTTACCTACATTTCGTTTGGTCAACAAGTTATATAGATTCTACTTTTAAAATGTACCTCCAATCCAATGCTTTTTACCATTGTACCTTTTTAAAACTCTAGTGTAAGTTACCATATAGAGCATTACTGTCAGGTAGAAATATCATTAAACTAAACATGTACTTTACAATTTTATAGTTGCTATATGTTTATAATCAGGTGAAAGCAATAATTTTAATTGTTTTTAAAAAAATATAAATACCATATAATGCAAAATAATGTTTTATTCTTTTCTCTGTTTTCAGCATCTCATGTGTATTTTAGGTACACTTAAAATTCTTACAAGCCACATGTGATTAGAGACCTCTGTGTTGTATGGCTGCTAATCTCAGATTTTGCTGTACTTTCCTAGGTGATTTTATTTCCATTTTTATCTCTGTCAGTTCTTGACATTGTACCTAACAAGACTTTTACACGTTATAATTTTTGGCTTCTATTCCAAGCAGAAAATGTATTTATTCTTTACAGTAGTGTATTAGACTGTATTCTCTGTTACTGTCTTTCTCTCACACTCTGGTGTCCTTTGTTTTCTCACTGCATTTCATCTCAGTGACCTTCTGTTTGTCCGTGAACAAAGTTTTGCCTAGCAATTCACCATCAGAATCTCTTTGCCTTTCTTGCTTTTTCTCCTGTCTTTACACACTTAAACACTTCTTCCTAAGGTTCTCAACCTTCTTACTGCTAACTGGTCCACTTCCTCACTCTCCCAGCTTCTACCTCCTATACCATTCATTATCTGGAAGTTATAATTATGTTACTATTTTCATTTGCATATAATTGCTGTAAAAGGTACTGACTTACATTTTACAGATTACTTTTCAGCATCCATAATATCCTAGAACATGGAAAGCAGATAAATAAATATTTATTCAATGAGTTAAAAATACAAAGCTATAGAGTAATGGGAAAATGGGGTTTTCAGTCATGGATATGGCTATGAGTTCTGGGGCCACTTTTACTTTTGGGGTGGCTTAGGGAAAGTTACATATTGACTATTCAGGTTTTTTTTTTTTTTTTTTTTTTTGAGACAAAGTTTCTTTAATAGTCCTGGCTGTCCTGGAACTCTCTCAGTAGACCAGAATGGGCTCAAACTCACAGTGATCTGCCTGCCTCTGCCTCCTGAGTGCTAGGATTAAAGGTGTATTCTATGACAACCTGGCATACTCAGTTTTTATATTAATAAAAAATGAGGAGACAAACATTCAAATATGTCCACAAGTACTTATGAATAGCATTTAAAGGAAGAAAGTAATACAATTTATTCTACAAGTTATGTGTGAGAGTGCTTTATAGGACAGGAGTATGGAGCATAACCAACATACAGCATAACCAACGCTGTATATTGCTTAATTCAGAGACCTTCACCTCTGCTGCCCGCCCAGGAGAGCAGGTTCTGTTAGAAGACCTACAATTTGTGTTTCTCCCTCTTACCTTTGCTTGAAGTAGCTCAGAGTCAGAGAAAATAGAAATTAAAAACTTTGAGTTGTCTTTCCTTCATGTTTCTGCTTATCATTGTTATTTAATTACATTGTAATATTATGAAAAAAATTATATGAGTATGCTTGGAGATCACAGAGTAGAATAAGGCTTAAAACTGAAAACAGACGTAAGTTCTGCTGCCAGCCCACCCCCGTCTTGATTCAGGTAAAGGCTCTCCCTTCTGCTTTTGTGTCGGTGTTAGTTGTGCGTGTTATCTAACTCTCCACAACCTGACCAGTGTAGACGACTGGATTTTATTCCTGTTCTGCAGCCCGTTCTTTCTCCTAGAAGAGTTTTGTCCCCACCCTTCTGTCTTTCATCATTGAAACTTGATTACATGTCTGAGAGTGCAGCGAAGAATGTCCTCTTCCGCCTTGACGCTGTTGAACAGCGGATGCTTTCTAAGGTCGCCAGGCTGACTATATGAGTGTCTGTCTAGAAGCCAATTTACCATTATCCATTTCCACCATTATTCTAGACATTATTTACCATTATTCATTATCCATTTTTTATCCTAGAGATTTCTTTTTAAACTCCCCGAGGGAGTCATATTTCCCTCGTTTTTCTTTCTGGATGTATTTATTTTACTGAAAACTTTCAACATCTTCCTAACTATGATGTATGGAGGTACTTTAAGAAATGTACCTGATAATGTTTTTATTTCGTTTATTTTTTTTTTTTTTTTTAATATTTATTTATTATGTATACAATATTCTGTCTTTGTGTATGCCTGCAGGCCAGAAGAGGGCACCAGACCCCATTACAGATGGTTGTGAGCCACCATGTGGTTGCTGGGAATTGAACTCAGGACCTTTGGAAGAGCAAGCGATGCTCTTAACCTCTGAGCCATCTCTCCAGCCCTATTTCGTTTATTTTTGAGATGAGGTCTTGCCAGGCTGTGCAGGATGGCCTCTCACAAGCCCCTGGGCTCAGGTGCTCTCCCTCCCCAGCCTTTCTTCTCAGTGACTACAAGCACACACGTTTCCTCACTTCAGGTTGATTTTTTTGAATCTTCCCAGATTGACAGTTTTGTTAGGTACAGAATTCTAAGTTGTACATTTTTTTTAACAGCAGCTAGACAATGTCGCTACTCTCTTGCCCGTGGGTGTTGTTTTTGAGAAGTCTGATGCTATGTTTGCAAACTTGTTGTATCTTGTGGATACTCAAAGCAGTGCTTCTCAAACTGTGGGTCATGACCCCCACAGGAGTCACATATATATCCTGAGTATCAGATTCTAATTCATAACAGTAGCAGAATTACAGTTATGAAGTAGCAATGAAATAATTTTATGGTTGGGGTAACCATGACATGAGAACCTGTATAAAGGGTCACAGCATCAGGGAGGTTGAGAAGCACTGCTCTAAAGGAGTTCTCCAATTATTCTCTTTATTTCTTATGTTTTAAGGTTTCCTGTAGATACTACCTAGTGGTAGATGATAACGATTTAGTACCTTTTATTCTAATTATTTTCATTTAAATTAGTTTATTCAGTTTCATAGACATAAATTTCATAATTTCAGAGATGTTATTTTTGTATATGAGAAAAACATTAAGCTGAGACTAAGAGGCTTATTTGGTCTAAAATAAAATCTAGGTATAGCTTCCTTTTCTATAATCTTCATACTAAAGGATGAAAGATATGCAACATATATAATTGCATGTGTCATGAATAAAATGAAATATTCTCATCTTTGGATTATTGATTGATACATTATTAAAGCATCCCAGAATAATTTTTTTTTTTTCGAGACAGAGTTTCTCTGTGGTTTTGGAGCCTGTCCTGGAACTAGCTCTTGTAGACCAGGCTGGTCTCGAACTCACAGAGATCTGCCTGCCTCTGCCTCCCGAGTGCTGGGATTAAAGGTGTGCGCCACCACCGCCCGGCATCCCAGAATAATTTTATCTTACACTTTTGCCTCAAAATATGAATCATCATTTTCTAGAATTTTTAATGTCTTTCTGTGGGCATGGAATCTTGGATATAAATGACATCTAGAGAATATTATCTATATTAATTAGTAGAAGCTAGGAGCACTTGAGAAAACCTTGTTATAGAAGTTAAATGGGGTTGAGTGCAGGGCTTACCAAGCGAAGAAAACCTTGCTGAATGAGGCTTTTAAGTGCGTGTCTGATTTAATGTTCATACCCTCATGAAGGGACAGCAAGTAAATACATCAGAGAACGAAGTGCATTTTACACATTATAAAGGATATGATTTTGCTTTTGAATTTGTGCAAATTATGTAAATATGTAATAGTAAGTGCTTGAGGTAAATTGTTTATTTGGATTTGATTTTCATTTTTAGGATTGAACTTTTTATTATTTGAAATGGTTAGTATTAGTAAGTTCATCCAGAAACTATAGATGGGCTTCTATGTTAGCATTATTTAAAACTGCGATCAGTTGATTTTCTTTCTCTCAATATGGGAAAATGGAATCCCGTGTGCCCTAGAAATTCATACATTGCACAGTCTTAGAGAGGGTGATTTGAAATGCATGAAGACACTGGACTTTGCAGGTATAAATAGGTAAAAAGAGGAGGGATGGGCTGGTGAGATAGCTCTTTGGGTAAAATACTTGCTATGTTAGCTTGATGACTGAAGTTTGATCCCCTAAGAACCATTGTGGAAGGAAAGAGCCAACTTTCCATAGCTGTTTTCTGATTTCCACGTATGGGCCATGCATATGTCTCCCCTCCCCCATAATAAATAAAATGCAGAATGTAAAGGGAGGCTATGAAAGTTAGCATTGGCCAGTTTTGTGCTTTTTCTCGGACCTCCAGTGTTCACGGGACTGATAACCACACATGTAATTTTTGAGATAGGTTGTTGTTTTGTCGCCCAGAACTCAGGTTTCTTCCATCTCTGCCTCCCAGGTCTGAGGTTGCAAGTGTAAATTGTCGCATTGGATGACAGGCTTTTCCCTGTGTAGCTGGTGAGCTAGTTTTTAGTATCGTTAACCTAGAAGAGGCCCAGTCTTTGAAATCCTTTACAGTGGTAAATGATAGGTGCAATTAAGAATTGGAAGACATAGAACTAATAAACCACATAAGTGAAGCCTATCAACTAATTGCTTATGCTATCATATTATCACATAAAAGGCCCTGTGTAGTTGTTACGTTTGGATTAGCAGCAATGAGCCCTTTCTTACTGGGATTTTATTAAATGTTTGAAATTGCTTAGAAGTTAGTAGCTCCCTTGTGGTGTTACTTGTGTTCCAAATCATTTCTTGATGACTATTGTAGCCTTTGACTTGTACTAGATCAAGGTACATCTAATTGAGCAAATCCTTCTGTTTTATTGACATCCAGTTTTTTGAGACATGTCCACAAAGCACATGATATTCTTGGCAGACTGTGAGAGTTGCCCTCTTTCCCAACAATAGCCTAGTTGTGTTTGCTGTTGAACTTTTGTATCTTTGTTTTTCTATCTAGTTCATATTTTTTTAAAGTGTGGCTAGCAAATGTGCTATAACTAATGTAAGAGAGATTTGGTAATTATTAGTGTGAAGATCAAAATAAAACCATGCAGTTTGTATGATACTGCCCTTCACAGTTGGCTGTATGGACCCCTCCTCTGCATAAACACCAGTATTCTTATTGTCTGTGAAATGGTTGTTGTTCTGTTCTATGAAATACTAAATAAACACACACACACACACACACACACACAGAGAGAGAGAGAGAGAGAGAGAGAGAGAGAGAGAGAGAGAGAGAGAGAGAGAGAGAGAGATTAGTGTAATTAATTACGGTTGACTTCCTCATTATGTCAGTCACTGCATGTCATTTGTAGCTATGGGGTCTCTGTGACGGTAAGGACTCTGGGAGCCACAATAACAAATGTTAGTTTTAAAACCTACTTTGTCAAGTCCAAATGGATCCAAAGACCTCAACATAAAGCCAGCTACACTGAACCTTATAGAAGAGAAAGTGGGAAGTACACTTGAACTCATTGGCACAGGGAACCACTTCCTAAATGTAACCCCAGCAGCACAGATACTGAGAGAAACAATTAATAAATGGGACCTCCTGAAACAGAAAAGCTTCTGTAAAGCAAAGGACACAAGTCAACAAGACAAAACAACAGTCTACAGAGTAGGAAAAGATCTTCACCAACCTCACATCAGAGGTCTGATCTTCAAAATATACAAAGAACTCAAGAAATTGAACACCAAAAGATCACATAATCCAATAAAAAAAATGGAGTACAGACCTAAACAGAGAATTCTCAACAGAGGAATCTAAAATGGCTGAAAGACACTTTAAGGAAATGTTCAACATCCTTAGTCATCAGAGAAATGCAAATCAAAACAACTTTGAGATTCCATCTTAATCTGATGAATGAATCTTAATAAGAATGGCCAAGATCAAAAACACTGATGACAACTTATGCTGGAGAAGTTGTGAGGTTAAGGGAACACTCCTGCATTGCTGGTGGGGATGCAAGCTGGTACAACCCCTTTGGATGTCAGTATGGTGATTTCTCAGAAAATTAGGAAACAACCTTCCTCAAGACCCAGTAATACCACTTTTGGGTATATATCCGAAGGATGCTCAATCGTGCCACAAGGACATGTGCTCAGCTATGTTCATAGCAGCTTTGTTTATAATACCTAGAACCTGAAAACAACCTAAATGGCCCTCGATGAAAGAATGAATAAGAAAAATGTGGTACATTTACACAATGGAGTACTACACAACAGAAAAAAATAACGACAGCTTGAATTTTGCAGGAAAATGGATGGAGCTAGAAAACATTTTGAGTGAGGTAACCCAGACACAGAAAGGCAATTATCACATGTACTCACTCATAGGTGGTTTTTAAACATAAAGCAAAGAAAGCCAGCATACAAACTACAATCCCAGAGAATTTAGACAACAATGAGTACACTAAGAGAGTCTTACATAGATCTAATCTACATGAGAAGTAGAAAGTAGAAAAAGACAAGATCTCCTGAGTAAATTGGAAACATGCGGACCTTGGGGGAGGACTGAAGGGGGAGGGGAGAGGCAGGGAGGGGAGCAGAGAAAAATGTAGAGCTCAATAAATATCAATAAAAAATTATACAAAAAACTACTTGAAATTGTATGTTACTAGTTTTCTTTTGAGTCATTTGATACGCTTATAATGAACCTGTTTAATTTTGCCAATGTTTTATTTCAGGGTGCAGCTTGGCTAGTCAGACCAGGTCAGTGTGAGCACATGGGACTCACGTGACCTCTTATGGCTTGTCCTTGTGTTATGGTAGATCTCCCTTTGCAGAACAATTCTTGATTTTTGTGTATATGTGAATCCTATAATCTTACGTTTTTGGAATAATATTTTAGTTCATAAAATGCATAGGGTTAATAAAAGAAATCAATTATGTTGAATTAAAGTGATAAATATTAGTTATATTCTTTTTTGTTTGTGTTTATTTATTTATTATTGCTTTATAAATAATACCATTCAAAATTTCCATTTCCTCCCCTCCTCCCATTTCCCTCCCACTCCCCCACTCACCCTCTCCCTTCCTCCTCCAGTCCTAAGGGAGGGCAGGGTACCCTGCCCTGTGGGAAGTCCAAGGCCCTCCCCTCTCGATCCAGGATTAGGAAGGTATGCATGCAAATAGACTAGGATCCCCAAAAGCTAGTACATGCAGTAGAGACAAATCCCAGTTCCATTATCT